TTTACATCACCTCCTAGGTCGATGTGAGAAAGGGAAAGGACTCCACTCTGCTCTCCCACTCTCACTTCTCCTCTGCCCCAGTCTGACCTGCCCTATTTATTGTTGCACCCCCCGGGTTTGGAAGGGAATTCACGCGCAGGTGCACGCACGCCCTTCCTCCAGGCCCCAGCGTGTTTTCCAGCTTAGCAGGTTATCTCCAGACATGGGAAGATTTACGAAGCAAACCCCAATCCCAGCAGCGAGAACACATCTCCTTCTGCCACAGATGCAAGGGACCGGGGAGGGACAGGGACACCGCAGCCTCTCTGCGTGCCAATAGCCCTCACACACCAACAGCCTGACCTTTAAAAAAAATCACTGTCCTTGTTAAAAACCATCTTATAAAATGACATTGCTTTTCCTCTATAATAGGAAGGGTTACACGGGTGCTTTAAATGCTAATTTGGTTCTTTCTGAAATACCTGGTGACCTGTGGCTGTCTCCCATCACTTACATTTCCTACTTTTGCCCCATCAGGCTGCGTAGCCAGCCCGGAATACAACCCTTTCCAGCTCTTCAGATGATTTTCACTATCACTCACTCAGGTGATTGAGATTCTCAATGCGTGGATCTGGTTTCCAATAGTACAAGCTGCTTCGTAAAGGTTATAGTTTGATTTAAATAGCACAGCCATCTGTCCTGCGGTGGCTGATGGGAGCTGAAGAAATCAAAGCAGCCAAAACAGAATTTTTCAAACTGTCACTTTTTCAGTACAAACATTTCGGTTTGAATCAGACCCATGTCCTATATAAAAAAAAACCAAAAACCAAAAAACACCTATGTATTTTTCTTGTGTATTACACCGACACTGTGAGTCTTGCTTAAACAGTTTCATTGCGTTGTTGGAATTTCATCAATGCAAATATCTGGCCTGAACTTCACTGGCTCCAGGCACTTTACAAACCACAGAATAATCCCCATTTGTGTGCTTCTAGTTTTTGAACTAAGAAATGCTCATTTCTTATGGTAGCCAGAACCCACAGGACCAATGCACAACGTTAAGAAAAACTCTTCATGCACCTATGGAAGTCAGGCACACAGACCTCCTTTTTTTTTTTTTTTTCCCCCCCCCCAGTTCAACTCTTCTATGAAGTTAAATCAATTTAGTCACTTAATTCCCAAGACTCACTTTCTTAATTTTACACTATTTTTGAGAGAAATGGGTTTAGAGCACACAGGTCAGCTACATACAGCAGCTGTTATCAGCAGAATTGCTAATACCTTGCTGGAAAAATAAAAATATGAGAAGCATCCAGTATTTCCTTAGGCAAATGCTGCTCCACATCCGAGATTCAAGCATGGCCTTGCTGGAATCATCTGCCCCCCAGTGAAAATGCCAACTGTCCCTCTCGTACTGCCTTGGGAAAGCCCATGTTATGAACTATTGCCTAGGAGCATGCAAGGAGACAAGACAGACAACAAGTATTTATTAATCAGAACAACATACCAAAGTTTATTGATTACTTCAAACAAAAGTTTCTTTAATGAAAAAAGAGCAAGTTGCATTCATAAAAGGTAACATTCACATTCAATTTCCTTTATATAAAGCAACATAAATGTATAAAATTGCATTTAAGTGAAAAAAATGTAAGGTTGCAGTCCTTTTTTTTTTTTTTTTTCAAGAAGCTGAAAATGTATCTTCTCATTGCCTGTATATAATTTACACTTTGTATATACTACATGGTTTTAAAAAAAAAAATCCATAGCTGGGAAACTGGATAAATGGTGCAGTATTAGGTAAGTTTTTCAACTGTGTGTATACAAATTCAATTTTAAGCTTTTATGCAACTCCAAATCATTTATAACATTCTTGTAGTGATTAGGATTAGTTTTTGAAAAGTAGCTTTGACTACACCAAGTTTCTCCGTTATCACATAACAGTTTTAGAGGGAATCTTAATTACTTTTCTTATCTTTCAGTGTCACTAGCCAGCAATTAAGCTTCAATGAATTATTACAAAGAACCCCAGCCTATTTTTCCTTCAAGTTTTTCCACCGATAAGCCTGTACTGACCTATTAGCTCCCTGAGGAGCGCTGTAACAGTGCAGTGTGTACTATGGTACATGAACAATCGCAGCATCACTGGCGGATTACTGCCACTTCAGCATCCTGCTGGCTTATACCTCGCAGTTACTATCACCGTATTTTCTTCCCTTCTCTAACCCCAAAAGAGGTCTCCTGTTTCCTCTGGTTTCTCAAGTCATCCACAGCAATTAGAATTTTACTTTTGCCATTGCTGAACAACAAGGATCAGCTCTTCTGCTGGTCCACAGCAGCCCAGCTATCCTGGCATCCTTGGCACCAGCTCACCACCTGAAGATCCAAGCCCAAGAAAACCTGCGTTTTCCCAAAAGCGCCGCTATTCAAGATATTTCTTGTTAATTCCAACCTGCCTGTCAGCAACGCACAGCTATCGCAATGGCTTGCTCCATCCTGAGACCGGACACTTGGAAATGGGAAGAGAAAGATTTGGTTCTTAAGAAGACTCCGTCTTAAAACAGGCTGCAGAAATCAGCCCGTTTAAGTGGCTTTATTCGCACAGTTCACACACACATGGCAAGCTTCGCTCTGTTCCCGCTGCCGTCACCAGCAAAAGCTCCAGCTGAATTTCACGGGAACAGACTTTGACCTTAGGAGTAGAGTACGACACAAGACAAACTGAGAAGCAAGGTGCCAGGCTTGGGACCATTCGGGCTTGGAATGGTTTGGAATCACAGGAATTAGGCATTTCAGTGCCCGCATTTTATAGGTTATGTAAACACAAGTCAGCAGTTGAATATTTAAGGAGAAAGGTTAGATTTGGCATGTAGAGCGTATCCTCATTGTATTCATCGCATACTCGATCTGTAGGCACCACATTTTAGCAAGAAAAGTTGAGAATGGGACAAGGTCTGCAAGTTGAGTTCTAGGTCCGTGAAATGAGCTAGGAGAAAAAAAAAAAAGAATAAAAAAAAGCTTTGCCCATGGGACACATGCTGGAAGTGCAGCTCCTTACTTGCATGCAGCAAGGAGTCGAGCCGCGGTCACTAACACGTCGAGGCCAGTGCAGGGTGTATAATACAGTGGTCCTGTCCATGTGTCCCCTCCCATGCTGGGTGATTTAAAAGCAGCCACCATAGGGACTGCGCACACCCCCTTCCCACTCGGGTAAGGCCCACTGCAGAGTCCTTAGGACACACACCAGAATTCGCCTGCAGCTGATCTGCGTCCTGCTTCCACCAGAGCCGAAGACGGACCTCGGGGGTGGCAGCCAGAGAGCAAGGCTCCGTTCTTCCAAAAGTTAACAGTCCGCTGGTCAGCAAAATTGGATGAAGGGAATGTTCTGTTCAGTCCCAAATTGTTGTTTCTTTGCATGTAAGGGACACACAGCCCAAGCAAGCGGGAGCCAAGCGCAGCCACAGCGTAGAGCTCACTATTTCTGAAATGAGACTGGAGCTTCTCACAGCAGTTCCTCTGGGGCTGGGGACAAGCAGCACGATGGGGACCTTCCCACCGAACACCGGTGGCACACAGGGTGCTCTGTCACTGCTTATGACTTAACGCAACAAAAAAGCTGCTTTTTCCACATACGAAAGAGAATTAAAAAAATAGAAATCAAGCGCCAGGCATCTCACCTCTGCTGTGCACAACCTAAAGAGAAAAGTTCCCATGACCGTGGTACAGGTAGATTTAAAAAGAACATGCCAATTTAAAAACCAAATAAAGTCTAAAATAAAATCAGGTTCATGTATTCCTTTTATTTTTTAAACTGGCTTATTTTTCCTTAGTGCAAATAACTCAAGATGCAGTTTTATTTGCCTGCAGGTGGACAGGCACAGCCTGTGTCCCTGGGACCATCCAAGGACCGCGCTGTCACTCAGCCTTTACAGCATCGATGCAGCTGCACAGCGCAGTAACTTAAGCACAACCACGGGAGCCCGGGCAAAACGGCTGAAAGTCTGACACAGCCCAACTTCTGAGATTCTTTCCTCCCCCATGAAAGCTTCCTTCCATCACAAACAGCCACAACACGAGGGAAAATGACCTTTTCTTTACCCTCCAGCAGGAAAACCCATCAGCACACCGGCCGCAGGAAGATGCTCAGGCGTGTCCCAGCACCGCGGGTCTCCGCACGGATACCACCGCTGCGTACGGACCACGGACTGCTTCCAGCTGAACCCAGAGGAGGAATATGTGACTGAATGCTTTGCATCGTTGGCGAAGGTTTCTCCCGAGTTTTCAAGTATTTCTGCCGCACGCCTCTGGCAATCCACCGCTGGGAGGGGGCAGCCCCAGCCCCAGGCGAGATGCTCGCAGGGCTGCATCCAGCTCTTACACCAGAGGAGCAGGCGTTCCCCAGCGCCTTCAGGGAGCTGGAGGGGGCTGTTACTGGGTTTAAAGTCTGTACTACTACTTCTTTGGTCAGGCGGAGCGAGAGGCTTCGGCAGCTCTCTGCTGCTCGCGGGCAGAGGAAGCCCCCGTGTGAAAGGAGGATGGCATTGCTCTCTTGCATTTCGATTTCTGCTGTTTTGGATGAATTCCTAAAGATGCTTTCCCAGCCTCCAATGACGCAGACATTTCATTTGGCAGAATTTTTTTTAGGGGGTGAGGAAACCACAAGACCAAACAGTACCGTGGGGCCAGGGCCCCGGCTGCTGCTGCATCAGCACGGCTGCTTACTGCACTTGGTAACGTTAGAGAGAACTGTTAGGTTAAAACCACAGTTTTTTTCCTACAGCATGACAATACGCAGTGTTTTTATGGAGCACTTTAAAGTATCCTGAGAGGATATTTTTCTGCCAAATTAGTAACAGCATCTTCAGTCTTCACATAACCATTCTCTATACGTTTGTATGAGACTAACATAGGCAGATCAAAGGGGCCAGTCTGCAAAAATCAGAAGGACACATGTATTGCAGTTGTTACATTTCTGAACTCATAAACCTTTTCCTGTGTTATTTTTAGAAAATACTTAAAATTTTAGAGGAGAAGAATAATGATTAAACCATGATAAAAGTGCCAAATTTCATCCACAACCATGTAAATCAATTTCCACAACCCACAAAATGCTGTGTGAAGTCTAAAAGCAGCACCTGCCTCTCTGTCCCCTGCGGCTCCCGTTCCACCCCAGTCCAGCCGCCTCCCGCACCAGTCTGCACCAGTATACAGTAGCAGAGAGCACCACCTAACGTCTGCAGGGAAGGAACTGCCGCTCGCCTCGCCAGCAACACCTGGGCAAGCAGAAACACAGATTCATGCCAGATACATCTGGAGCTCTGGCGAGCCTGGCTGACGGAGCTGCCATTCCGATTAAACCCATCTCTTTACAAGCAGGTGTGGGTACAAAGGCAGGAGAAGTCTGCAGAAAATGTGCAGCAGACACTGCACAGCTACATAACATCTCACCTAAAAGCAAAATTGTGAATTAAATTAGGCACTTTTATTTTTTTTATTCTGCTATTGGCTTACTAGAATGTTTAAAATCAAGTAAGATTGTACTAGGATGCTCTGTGTGTGTATATACACATACAGACACAGAGACATGCCTGCTGCACGTATGCTGACATAGACAAGTACACACATTTAGTTTCCATCTATGCAGATTAATTCAAATGTACTTATTTCTATCTGACAGAACAGCATGCACCCTAGAAAAAGGGATTTTGGTACAACTCAGATGCAATGCTGGAATCATTTTAATAGCTGAGATTTGAATACTTCACTGTAAATAAACCAGTGTCAGCTTTTACGACCACTGTTAGCACAGTTCACTGACTGTATTCTCAGACTAAGTTGTCTCTTAACATGAGACTGAAATGCCAGTTCTATTGAAAGATTTATCTACATACGGTGAAATGTTTCAGTTTGAGAAGGTCTGTGCCCATATGGGATTCTGAAAAGGCTGGATAGGACAATGTCCCCAAATTCAAGGCCAGGCTGGATGAGGCTTTGAGCAACCTGGGCCAGTGGGAGGTGTCCCGGCCCATGGCAGAGGGTTGGAACTAGATGATCTCTATGGTCCCTTCCAACCCAAACCATTCTGCGATATTAAAATACATCCCAAGCATTGCATCTCCATTCCACAAGGACAGGTGCCCCACACCGATAGTCAAGAGGATTACAAGAACCACAGTTTAATTGATTTAGGGTGTTACATTTGGTTAATCAATGCCTTTTAAAACCATCCCAACTCCTTCGGACAGGGTACCTGTTACAACACATTAGACTCATCTGAGAATGTTCTTAAAAGAAGTGGTCTGACAGAAGGTCTGGCCGACAAGGACTCGGGTGCCTTCCTGCTGCTCTGCAACAGCGAGGCAAAAACACTTACAGCACACGCCACACTTGCCCCTGCCTAATAGTCAAACGATATAAGACACACACACACCTTTCTACAGCTCAGTCACATCATAAGGGAGGTAGCTATACACACTTCCTAAATACCCTGGTGATTAATTGCAGCTGTGGGGGCTATTCAGAAACTAGCCCTGCTTCCCGTGATAGCTAACTTCAGGCTCAGGGCTTTATGCTACAGGTGCTTTTGAGAGAGTAGGAAACCATCCTTGATCTTCACAGAACTAGTATTTTTAAAAAAGCAACTAATACTGGAGAACTGCAGGGAAAGCAAATGCTAGGGACAAGTTTTCAAGGCACTTGGCTGTGGGGTAGCCCCACCACCCCCATGGCCAGCGAGTACAAGACCACCCCTCATTGCAAGGGCTGGGCGCAGGGGGCTATTCCCTTATACAAACAGCGGTGGTGGGATGGACTGGGCAAGAGTGGGATGGACTGGGCCAGGGTGGGATGGACTGGGCAAGATGGGCACTTGGGGAGCTCCTCCTAGACCAGACAAGCCTGAGCTGGTTGCCAAGTCATCCAGAGGACAATCAACATCGAGTCCACCTTGTCCCATGCTTTAGAGAAGTTTGCATCTAGTCCGCTAACACAGAAACTACAGAAGGAAGGGCAGTGGAACCAGCAGCGGCTGCAACCGCCTCACCCGGCCGTCCTGAGCTGAGGGGCAGCAGAGACCAAAGGGGAAGAGACAGATGAAATATTTCAGCAAAAGATTTAAATTAAAGCAAAAGGGAGGGAGGGAGGCGAAAGAAGGTTTTGCTGGGTAAGCAAACATGGTTTTTCAGGAGTTAGGCATTACAAGGAGGAAAAAAGCAGCGGAGCAAGCAACACATAGCAACACAGAAAAGAAATCACCTTATTCACTCCAAGAAAAGCTGTGATTGCTGGAAGTTTGAGAAAGCATGAAGATAGTGGATGTTCCTGAGGAAGGAAGGCGCTTCGTTACCTAGTTCACAACAGCACAAAAGACAGAAAATTGCAGTACAAGAGAGAGAAAGGCAGAAACCAAGGAAAACACAAATGCGCCTTGCAGTTAAAAAAACCCAAACAAGCAAAACCAAAACACTTCCACACAGAAAATTTAATAGAGACTGAGCAGAGCCGATGCATTGAGTTATAGGGAACTTGGGGTAAAACCTGGTCCTGTTGAGATCAAGGGCAAATGCACATTGTCTTGGCCTCAGTCCATCAGCCCCTTCCAGAGGGGACCCTCAGCTGTCAAGTTGGGGGTTCAGGCAGCTAAATAATGTCCCTAATCTTGTTTTTCATTTAATGCTTCCTTTGGGAAACTGATGTTTATTTTTTCCTGATATTAAAGGTCAGGATTTTCAAAAAGGGTCTTGATTTGAAATTATCTACCTTGTCTTAGATGCCTTTACAAATGAGGTGACTGAGTCGGGTGTCTGCCAACACAGACATATCTAAGAGCTGGTATCTGCTTCAGGCGTTTTATAAAGCTCTTCCTCAAAATGTGCATTTAAATACGGCTCAGCCTGTGTTTAGTTTGGAATGCACATACAAAGAGACTTTTCTAGCTGACACTTTGCTTTGCTAAACGATTTCACAAGAGCCTTTTCTAATGCATATAAAGCACTCTTGAAAGCAAGTACTGCATGGGGGAACAGATCTGGCCATCAGCTCACCTTGCAGGTAACCCCCCAGGTCCCCCCCCTCCAACTGTCCTGTGCCTGCAGCTGAGAGGACCTTGCTCCCAGCCTATTCAACAGGGGTGTCAAGCTAGAAACTACTAAATCATACTTAATTGGAAGAAATTACATGGAGGCTCAAAGAATTCAACTGTGCTTCTTTTGCCATCTCTACTGCTTTTCAACTTCAGTGGTTTGGGGTTCTTTTTTTTGTCCTGCAGATACGTGTTTTACCTTCACAGACACTGTGCCAGAGTTGTACTTCAAATGTTATGGGATGGGAAAACCTTTACTACTTCATTGGATATATATTTTCTTTTTAATCAAGATAATAATAATTTTTAAATAAGGACCAAAGATAGCAAGTTATCCCAGGTGAGAAAAAGACAGTGAAACCTCACAGGATATAAGAGCTTCACGGAGAGGAGCCTGTTTTGAACCTCAGTATTTGGAAGGTTTCCTGGGACACAGTCAGACCAGCTGGGCACTGGTGTGCCGGTACCAGGGTGCTGGTCCAGGGCACGGTTTGCAGGGCAGAACCCACCTCTGCACAGGGGACCTCTGCACCGCCCAAACCCTGCAGCTGTGCTGGAGGCAGAGCAATGGGGTGCCAGTGGTGGGGGGTGACCCTGCACGGGCAGTGCTGGCCCCTGTCCCTTGGGCTGTGCCCTACCGCTGCCTAAGGACACACAGAGCCAATGGCAAGAGCCCAGGGCCGGCTGCTGAGCCCAGGCAGGACTTGCTGGTGATGCTGCCGGGGGAGAGAGGGGAGCACGGGGAGCGGCAGAGACACAGGCAGGGTGAGCGGGGGCTGCCCGGGGACGGGGATGCTGGGCACCTCTGGGCAAGCAGGGAGTGAGGGGCAGGGGGGTCTCAGCACGGTGTGAGTTGTGAGCCCAGCAGTGCTGGCATTCATTGGTTGCAGGAGAGAGGAGGAAAACTTTGAGGAGATGGTTTACAATTCTAAAATGAGCCCTCCTCTTCTGCAGTGGAGGAAAGCTATTAAAGGAGACCGCTTTCAAGGAGAGCTGGACACTGCAGGCTAACGCCACAGTAGGAGCCCTCGTTATTAAGGGGGGTGACCAAATGTGACAAGACCTGACCACAGTAGGAGCCCTCGGTTATCAAGGGGGGTGACCAAATGTGACAAGACCTGACCCTGTTTCACCTGCACCAGGCACCTCAGAACATACCCAAGGGGGACATCGTGGCTGTATAAAAACAAGTAGCTTTTTTTCAGGACACAATGTGGTGGGTTTGATGACCAGTTCAGGTTGGCAAAGGGTTACTGTACTGCTGTAAGAGAGAGCAGGTTTCCATCCAGTGAAGGCAACTAAGGAAAGGCACATATTGAGTCTCCCCTCACTACAGACCTAGGCAGTATTTTTAGATGAGCTTCTTGACACTTCTGGCATGTGAAAGAGCAAGATGAGACTCTAGAAAGCCTTCCTCGAGACACGAGTGGTACACAGTACCGTTACGGGTTCATCTGGTGCTTAAGAGAGGTCTTCCTAAAAATACTGTGCAATACACCATCTCGTTCCTTACCTGATGATTTTTCTCTTTTATATTTTTTAAAACTATTAGAAGAATTTCTGGGAAAAGGCTGATAAAGATCAGGAGAATTATTGCCAGCCATGTGGAAACAGAAGTCAGCATATGGGCAAATACAAAATACATTCTTTGCTGCTTCAAGAAAGGCCTGAAAAAGAAAGGATACAAAGAAATGCTGGTTAACACAAATTTCCCAAGAAGGTCACAATCACAAGCAGATTCAGATCAAACTTTTAGCAGTAACACCTCCCTTTTAGATTGAGTTGGACACAGACTGCACAGAAACAACTGTCCATCCTTCTCCCAACACATCTTCTGCCTCCAGCCCCACCAGTTCCGGAGGACTGTCCTGCCACCTCCCATGATGTATTTCACATCTGACACATCTGCTCCATTTCAGGGTGGGAAGGGGTTTGATTTTTGCTACTATCACTGAAAGAGAATTAGTCACCTTGTCAAAAAACAGATTTTTTTTTTTTCAACTTTGGACTTCATTACACCTTCTGGTTTGTTTTTGGTGGTGGAAATCCAGAACCTCTTGATCCCAGCAGGTTATTTGCCTCTTTCTCCCTCCCCTGATGATGGAGGGGAACCGACAGATGCTTACGAAAAATGCCTCATAAATAACTGATGACAAGGATCACAAAGCAGTTGTTGCTTAGCATTAACTCAAAAATATTGAGCTATGCGAGTTAAACACCCCAGCAGAAAACTCACACACTTCAGCACTGAGATCTGGCTTGATCACAGATCTGATTCTGTTGGTTAGGAATGCTGAACAGTTAAACAAAGCCTGTGAGCCCCAATTAAAATATTTCCATCAATTTCACATCTTTATTAGCAGGCGGCTGGGTCAAAGATCTGGCCAATAAGCCATGGCACTAGCCCACGGGAAAGCAAAGGTGTAAAACGGGAGATGCTGTCTACTGCCAATGTCAACATGAATGTCTACTCTGACATGGGAAACAGAAAACTAATAATATTGTAATGTACTATTGCTTGCCTGCATTTGCAAGACATTAAGCCTAAAATCCTGGTCACACTCAAATCAATGACTATTCTCCTCCTCAGATCCAGGATTTCAGCAGCAGGATCTGCGCTTTCTCCTGCATATTTCTCCCTCTGAAGCTGCCCCAGAGTGCCGGGTCCTCTTGCTCTGCCTCATCTGTTCCTTCTCTATCACTGGGTTTCTTTCTGCCATCAGGTTTTTTTCTTTGTTTCTGATCCACATGCACAAACAGATCCTGAACTATTTACACCCTGGAACCTCCTAAAGAAGACAAGAGCCTCAGCACCAGAAATGACCCCAAAGCAAACTGCCTCTTGCCAAAGCTGAGCACCTGGACGGCAACCAGGGCGTTATCTTCTCAGACTACCCTTTTGGTAGGCTGACGGACCTCCTCAAACCCATCTCATCATGCAAGAGCCCTCTCCCCGCACCAGCTTTTAGTAGGCGTTGTCTGGAGATACCATCCCTTCCCTCTCCGGCAGAGAAAGGAGCGTAGTTGCCATCTGTAAATCTCTGTCCAGCCCAACGAGGGGATGCTGCAGCCAGGTCCCCCCCAAAACCAGCGCTGGACATTCCCCTACAAAAGCACCACGGAAAGAAGAAAAGATACTTGCCAAATGACTCCTCCCCAAAAGAATGAGAAAAACACATAGAAGGCAAGGGAGCCCCAAATGACGAAGTGGTTCATCCACGTCCAGAATCGGGTATCTAACGCTAGCTGTGTGAGTTAAAAAAAGGAGACAGAACAGGCATTAGATGCAGAGTGTATTTATATGAACTGATTGCATTTATACAAAATTTGACTGCTTTCACACTAAGGTTGAAATTCTCCACAAACAGCCACCTCTCTGCATCTGTGCAGCAGGGAAAATGTTTTCAGTATCGACAGATTGGCACAATGTCAACAGGGAAACAACAAGTTTCTAATTGTAACCGAGACTTTTTAATAGAATAAATTTGATCCAATCTCTGATGCCACAGGAAAGAAATGTGTAAAGGTTCTGGGGACTGTAATTGCCTCCTGCCACCACCTGCTGTCCTGAACCAAACATAAAAGCCCTTTTGTAAGGTCTTATGCAAACTGTTTGTTCTGGAAAGATCCGTGAAACAAAGCAGATCTGCTATTATTATTTGACAGATGTGCTTTTGTGATTGCTCCAGTGCTTAGCAGTGTCTGAAACAAGGTGGACAAACCCAGGTTCTCTATTGTTCCTCTCCTTTGCCTGGAACTGAATGCCAAGGGATGAAAGTGTGGGAAAAAGTCAACCAACTGGAGTCCTCAGAAGAGGGCAAAAAATAGGAAAATAATTTAAGCAAAACCTAAACACTTATAGACCAGCACAGCCCAGGAATACACACCAGAGACTACACAAAGGACAGCTGTCAATAGGCAAGTTCTGCCTACGGATGTAGAGAAGATCTAAGTGTGGTGAGAAACATATTCAGAGTAACTTCAACACATTTACTGCACGATTTTACAGTGCATAGGAAAATGATTGCAAAAACAAGCGACTGAAAAAGGAAGGAAGAGCCTAACCTTCAGAGTGACGGTGAACACCAGCACGGTGAAAACAATCGTCCCAAAGGTCCAGTTCCCAAAAACCTGAAAAACATGTGACATTGCATAGGCGTCTCTGTCCATCTCCTGGGAGAGGCACAGAAACAACAACGAGGACAGGGCTGCAAGCAGGACCGGAGGGGGGGACGGGATGGAACAACAGCTACGGGGGACGGATGCTCGGGCAGACACCACCCGCTACGCTACCCTGTGCCATGCAGTGCCACACGGACAGGTGACCCAGAGCTGGGATGGCAACACCAACCACCTCCTACTAACAGCAATGTCGATCGAGAATACAAGTCATTGGACCACCTGTATTTCATGATTTCTTGGTAATTTACTCAGTTTCTGCTTTCTCAAGACACCTCTGCTCGCCGTCTCGTTTTAGTCCCATTTGCAGAATGCACCAATGGGTATTTTTCCATCTGGTTTGGTTCGCAGATACGGGTGACTGTGCATGACAAAGGAAAGCAGATACTGTATATAAATCCAAATGATGGCAATGAATGGGAGGGATGCTTACCAAAGGCTGTCAAGATCTGAATGCATACATTAAAACAGAAAGTGAAATGTAAAAGTTTTCAAAAAATGCAAAAAAATTAAGTCAATAGGAGCGAAAAAGGAGTCAATCAAACGTACATGGATATTATGAGCAATTGCTGGTAGCAGTTCTTACAGGCATAAGTGTTTACAAAACAGGACATAGCCACAGATCTTATTTTAGTGCCACATAGACTTGACTTGTCAAGGCATTTGCAGAACACATCAGTGCTTCATGTTTTATTCAAATACAACCAGAATGGCTATAAATACAGGAAAGCACTGATTCTACAATACAGGGCTCAACTACTTACAGCTGGGGCCATAAATGTTGGCACTGATGCAACATATGCATACACATATATAAATTTCAACAGCTTTTCTCCAAGTGTTAGCTGCTAAAAAAAGCTAAGGTATTTTCAAGGTTCACAAGTGATGGTGTAAAGAAGTTTTCCATCAGCCAAGACCTGATAACATGCTGCGTACTCCCTTGGGGAAAGGGTCCTGTGACAGCCCAGGCCACCACATGTGGCAGCCTCACTGCAGTAATGCTTTGCTCTGGACTCAGTTAACCAGTAAAAAGAAAAAAAAAAAAAAAAAAAGAAAAAGAAAAAACAAAAATTCAATTTTTTTTTCTTCCCCCTTTCTGTGCAAGTTAACCCAGAGCAGCTCCCACACCTTGCTCACGTGGTGATACAAGCACTTGTCCCGACACAAGAGGCACGAGCGAGCAGACGGCGCGGAGAAGAACAGCCTGCTCGTTCCGACAGCCCTGCTAACTTTTGCTGGCTTCGAACAGCAGCAACACCCAGCACCATCGCAAAGGGAGGAGGGCGGCTGCAATCACACCCCAGAGCAGGCGCAGCACACAAGCAGCTCTCTACCACGTCTGCGCTGACAAGCAGCATCTTATCGAGGTGGGATAATTCAGTCGCTCATCACCAGCCAAACACGTGCCGGATTTCATGCTGGTGGGAAGGATGGATGCTGCTCCTGCCCTGTGCCAGTGCCTGGGATCGTGCAGAAGAGTGGAGGAGCGCTGTGCAAAGCTCACTGGGTTGGCATAAAGCCGTGTGTGAGACTAGTTAATTTACCTAGTGAGTGTAACCAGCTCTGCCCCGTTTCCATGGCAATTTGGAAAATGTTTCATTTCAAGCATTTGCTGCAAAAATCACACCATAAGCGACGCTACACCATCGGACAAGACTCAAGACACAGCGCACAGATTAAGCGTGTAGATATTCCCTGCCAGGCGTATAGAAGAGGCAGCGCGCAAAAGAAACACTTGTCTTTCTCTTTTTGGTGGCGTTACCTTTCCGTTATCTTCCAAGGATGAATTTTGAAAAAGAAAATAAACCCCAAAGAAAAACACGAGTCCTTCAAAGGCGCCCAGAAAGGTCCAGTACAGGAACGGCCTCCACTGCAGCATCGCATTATCCGAAACCTTCCTGCCAAGAGATGGAGTAACAACAACATCACTGTCACATTTAGGATGCGCTGCAAAGCCCCTCGATTTGGAGACAAGGAGGTAAAACACAAATATCTGCCAGCGTAGAGGACATAAACAACATTTGCCAGATACAGCTGTTGGTCACAAAAAATCCTAAGAGGTTCAGCACATTAATTTGTGTTGTCCTTCTCCTCTAGGTAGCCGTGATTAAAATCTAAGCCAGCCCAAGCAAAGTGAACAGCTGTAACGCTGTCCTGAGCCTCTCCCGCAGCCCCTGCACTGCCCACGGCATTGGACATTAACTGCTGAATTTTAAAACCAAGACAGTGCTGAAGAGCAGCCGAACGGGATGCAGCGAATCTGTGGTGTGTTTCCCCCTTTTTGTTGAATGCTCAGACTCCCTCTTTGAGAAAAGCTCTGCAAATCCCATTCCTGGAACCAGTCATTTTCTGCACAGGCTGAAAATAACTTCCTAAATCATATGGTGGGCGTTTTTAACACGTTTTTAACATGGGGGTGGTAGCAGGAGGCCTTTGGCTGAATATAGGATGAGATCTGGCAGGGAGGCAGCGGCAGCAAACAGATGCGCTATGGGCAGAGCTCTGCACGGACCGCACGCAAAGCCTGGTGAGCGGAGAGCAGCCATCAGGGCAGGAGGGAGTTAAAAAAAGTTTCCTGCCTCATTATCTTTTCAGATTACTTTCTTTAAAATTCTAAGATTGATGGGGGATAACAGCATGTTTATGGCAAAACCAAAAATCCCCATTCTTTCTTCATTTTTCTTCCTAACTATTAAAGCAATACATCCACTTTCAGCAAGATGCACCTCACAAACCGGTGTGGTGCTGGGCTCCTGCAACTGCAGTTTCCAAACCCAAACCCTGCTGCACAAGGATGCGGTGACAATGCTTACATGCTGCAACGTGGGTATGAATAAGGAGCACAGATAAACCAGACCGTCAGTGGGTTTGATTGCAAGGAGAGAAAATACAAGTGGCTGGGAGCTCTGTTTCGCATTCACATTTACGTCCTGCAGCGCTCGCTGTAAACAGGCTTTTCACAGCGCCTCGGACCAGAGATCCGCACTGCAGCAGCTCGGCAATCCGCACGGCAGAGGCGCAGCGGCCGTTCTGCATTCAGCCCCACACGCACAGTCATGAATATTCAAACCACAGCTATCTGCCCGCACAATTAATCTGTTTTTCCCTAATGGACAGACCCCAGAGATCAGACAGCCCACCAGGCGAGTGCACAGGGGTCTGGCTGCTGTTGGTCTACACTGCACAATATGCAATTACCAATTTATTTAAAAAAACATGTGGTGGCATTTTGCCATACAAGGGGAAGTCTAATCCATCATGGATCTGAGTACTTCAAAAACACCCAAGCCCCTCCCTAGCCTTACAGCTCTTGTTGCATTCACTGATTTTTCTACACTTTCACACAGTATCTTTAGGTACGTGCTGATTCCCTTTGCTGTCCCTGCAACAGCATCCCTCTTGGCTCGAGCGTGGCCGTGCCACACACGGCTCCTACACGGCCGAGGAGCATTGTACGAGGGTGACAAGGCTGGTGCAGGGCACTGGCCGGAGCAGCCCTGGCCTGGGCTCTCGCCACGGGGCTGAGCTGGGCTCTGAGCTTACTGCCAGCCAAGGGAATCAGCAGCGATGCACAAAGAGGCGCTTCCTCAAAAGGATCTTCGCTAGTCCGTGCTGAAGGGCTGCACCCCAGCGTGTGTGTGGGGAGGGCTGGGAGGACGATGGGAAGGGTCTCGGTTTGCGTGGGAGGTCAGAGCCTCCTCCTGTTGCAACCAAGGAAAGAGAGAAAGCGACCAGCAAAGCAGAGAGAGACGGTCTCCTCTTCTGCTGGGCTCTGCATGGGCAATGTGGCAGAAAACTCTGAGTGCGTGGATCGAAGAGCAGAGTTCCCCCGTAACAGGCTCATATGGGGATTTGGCCCGTGGAGGGCAAGCCTGGGGAAGGATATCCATTTAGACCAGCTGAGAAACTACCTGCCTGAGCTGGGCTTCAGGAACATCTGTCTTTCAGAAAATGAATGGATCTTTTTTTCTCCTGAAAGCGAGATCTCCCCTCCATCCATTACACACTCTGTGATGTGCTTGGCTCATGCTGCCTGGCTCGAAGCTCACGTGAATGAACGGTCTGGCCACACTCACAGCTTGATTTTTCTTATGGATGAAGAATTCCACCTACAGATTACCTTTTTTTATATAGGCACAGCAGTGCCATTTGCTAGACCAGACAACATTACAGAGCATAAAGAAGTAGAAATAGGCAGTAAATAGGACATTGCTTAGCTCCAAGGCAGCAACAGCAGAGCCGGCAGGGACAGAACAGCCTTTTCTGCAGTTCACGGCAACCCCATCACCGATACAGGACAGGGACACCCACCCACACTCCTGCACCAACAAAACTTAAACCAGGGATAACCACGTTGTACAGAGGCTTACCCATTCCTGCGCTACCTACATGTAGAGCTGTGGGTCCGAGGTCAGCGTGTCGATGCTGATGTGCTGCTCCAGGAGGCTGTACGCCAGGATAGGTAGTGATGTGAAGCAGATGTTGTACATGGTCAGATAAGCAGCATCATATAGTGGCTTTAAAAGAGGAAGAAAGGGTAAAATGAGACAGAAATTCCACTTTAGTCTCCCCACAAAGAGATTAACGGTTTCCAGCCCTTGTCTCCATACATCATCTACAGATTCATCCCTTTGTCACAGCCACACAGGACAGTTTTCAGAGGGGTCACGCTCCATGCGATGCTGGAGGGGCCAAGGTACCCACAGGCTGTATGGACGGGACCCTGCTCCCACCACTGGAAAGTTTTGTAACTGTCTGGTCTCATCTCCAGCTCATTCTCCAGAAAAATGTGATTAAACAGCTCTTATCACAGCTTTTCTGTAGCTGCTCTTGTGCTGCTGTTTCTATTAATATACACGACGTCTCCAGCAACTCTCTAAGGACTAGACTGCTTCAGAGGAAATATAGTTCCTTCTCCTTTTTTTTTTATTTTTGGAAAAAAAAAAAAAAAAAAAAAAGAAGAAGAGGAGGGAGGGGTTCTGCTGAGACAAGCAGAGAATTATCTCCTATCATTTATTCTTCCTTACTGTTACTTTTGAGTCCCAATAGACACAAAAGCCACAGCTCTTGTCTCCCAGCATGTGAGCCCACCCATCACAGGGATCTCTCCATCTGACGCTCACCGGGACTGGGGCTTTGTGCACACCAAGAACTCAGATTTAGGACAACATGACGACACTCATCGTGTCTTTTTTTTAAAGGCTGTCATAAAAGAACAAACTGTTCTTCCTCTTAGAGACACCTTTCATGCAGGGAAACGCAGCAGAGGAGGAAAGATCAGGAAGGTCTTTGAAAACTTTTTCTTTTAAGAGAAGTAGAAATAGAAAAATGAGGTGCTGAGAAACCCGCTAAACCCCCCTCCTTGTTATTTCAGGAAGGTGTCCATCTGGTGTTCTAGGGTGGTGGATGGGAAAGGAAAGAAAGCAGCTTTCTTTCTTTCCAGTTAGTGGCCTCAAGAATATTGTGCTCCAGATATAGTGCTGAGCAACGAGGTCAGTTCCTACTGTCCTCTGAAGTGAGGTGAGGAAGGGACAGGACACCAAAAGCCAAATCTCTGCTCAGAAGCCTCATTGTGCCACTTGCTTTTTATCCTGACTTTATAGATGCGTTACTGGAAGTTACCTGCTGTGAGAATCCACAGAAGAACTGGTATAAAAACTGTGGTAAAATGAAGCAAAGGTTCTAGGGAAACAGAAGACAAATGGTTAGCAGAGAAGTGCTTGACTTCTCAATCTAAATCCAAATAATTTTTCCTGTTATCAGATATCAGTGTCTGTTATTGCAATATCAGACAAGTTAGGGTATTGTTTTCCACCAAGCACAAAACTAATCCAATGGGCTCTTTGGCATCTGCAGAAGACACTGGAAAAAAGTCATGCTCATGTTCCCCTGTAAGCACTGTTTCCAATTGACAGGCTCATGGCAGAGACACAGCCTGTTCTAGGGAAGGAAAACAGCTACAGAATCACCTTTAAATTATTTTTTAAATTACTCATTAATTAATCATTAAATACTATTTTTTCTATTGTCAAAAAACCCCATCGTATAAACAAAGAAATAAACTGCACGCACATCCTTACCTTATAGAAGAAATACTGTACAAGGTGTGCTATTCTCACGTAATATAAATGCCCATGTGCTAGTAGCAATTTTCTTAAATGTTTAAACTTTGGCACAGCGTAGTCGCTGTTTCTGGAAGCCTGCCGTCCTTCTTTGCCTTTTATACCTGGAGACAGAAGCGTGACAATCCCTAAGGGACTGGAATCTGGACGGTTGCTACCCACTAGGTTTGTTCACATCACTTGGTGTCCCAAGGCAGGACAAAAGCCATAATTCCCTCTTGAGTGCAGAACACTAATGCGCTACAACACTCGGCGTGGTTTTGGCTCCACGACAGCCAGACCTGCCTCTGGAGTTTTGAAGCTATATTTAAGTCGCCGAGTTCCTATGTAAGAGTGTGGTGAAGTGTCTCAGCAAACCTGATAAAAGATAAGGAATTGGTTTCCCCACAGGCTTGCCCACTTCTCACACCGTCGAGTTATCTCACTGCAGGCGCTCAGCGCTACAACACTCGGCGTGGTTTTGGCTCCACGACAGCCAGACCTGCCTCTGGAGTTTTGAAGCTATATTTAAGTCGCCGAGTTCCTATGTAAGAGTGTGGTGAAGTGTCTCAGCAAACCTGATAAAAGATAAGGAATTGGTTTCCCCACAGGCTTGCCCACTTCTCACACCGTCGAGTTATCTCACTGCAGGCGCTCAGCTTCCCTGAGACATCCCTGCAGAGCAGAGCTCGAGCAAGAGTTCTGCTCACTCAAAAGCCACATCCAAACGAGCTGGGACCCCACTCACTAGAGGGCACCACAGCATTTCCAACAGCCCCGAACAGGCTGCCCTTTCTCTTCCATCAACCTTTCTTTGGAAGCATTAAAAAAAAATCTCCAGTATTTCCCACATCTCTGACACCCGTCTGCAAGAAAGGATGGTAGTCTCCAGCCTGCTGTCAGTCGTACGACAAGGCAGACAGCCCACCATAGAGCACTGGCCCTCGGGAAACACGTGTGGGTCCCCAGTGCCCAGTTACCAGCAGCTGTGACCCATTAGCCCTAACAAAGTCCAATATTTTCACTGCACTGCCTCTGCAACAACTACCAGTAATCACCCATCAATTCGCTACTTGTGCCTTTTTTTTTCTGACCAGCAAGCAACCTCTGTCACCTTGAATTTGGCCACTGAGTTTCTGAGCACAGTCTGCAGTTTATCCCTGACAAAGAGAACAGGACTGTCAAAGGTGAGCAGTTTGTGATGACCCCAAGCATTTATCTGCAGGCAAACCCTGGCTCCAAAGAGAGCAGTGGCAGACTTTCTGCATTTTCCAGCGGGATCCGTTTAGCCACGTGCCATCAGAAATCCTGACAGTGCCTCAGCAGTGAGCCCCAGCAAGAGCACACAGCTCTGAGGTGTCAGCCGGGTGTTAACAGGAGTCTTACCTATGCCAACATGCGCTTCCAAAATCATGCTAACATCATTTGCACCGTCCCCTATGGAGAGTGTTATCGGGCTCCCTTTTGTGTTCTTCACCATTCGCACAATCTAAAAGATTTTTAAAAAGGATAGCAGCAGAAACAAAAATTTCCATTAAAAAGCCTCCAGAGATGCCCCCCGCTGCCCCATCTGCAAGAACCCCCCAGGACAAGCAACTAGGCTCCTACAGCAGCAAAACAGCACCTTTGGAGTTCAGATTAATAAAACCCCTCGTTACTTCCTTCGCTGTCACCAACCAGAGCAAAAGCCAAGCTCCAGCTGCACAGGGCTGACGGACAGGATTTAAAAGCAAATCCCAGGCAGCAGCATCCCACCCTTCCCTCTGCCGTTCTCCTGACAATGGGACCTCTCTGGAGTTTCAGGGGATGAAACCCCCCCAGAAACCTTCCCCAAGGGCAGAACCATGGCACTGATCAGGCTTGGATACCACTAGCTGGCGTGAGGAAGTCATGGACTTCACACAACAGATTTGGAGAGCAATAAAGAACAAACAGGGGTTTTGTTTATTTCTAATTAGCTTGGGTCTGTGGCTTTCTGTGAGCTATTACACAAAGGGTTTACATTCAGATTTGAAAGGCTAGTGTGTTTCCATCACACTCCAATGCTCAGACAAGGCTTACACATAGCCTGGAGAAGCCCTAGCTGATTAAGACGATCAGGTCAAGTGGCAGTGGATGGATTAAAAACGCATCCCATCACCTAACGATGTGCTTCAGATGGTTAAAAGTAAATACCTGTGCTTTCTGCAAAGGAGCCATCCGGCAGCAGAGGACTGCGGTACACTTCAAGCAGATTTGTAGAAATATGTTTTTGTAATTACTTGAATTGGAGTCCTGAGAAGGGTTGAGGATCAGCGACAGCGTTGCACCATCTATAATCAGGCCATATTCTTGACTCAGTGTCCAGCTCCTGGGACACAACAAGGAACACTTTTGAAATAAAAAAAATACTTTAAGAAGTCAACCTAGCTGCTCATATCATCTTAGTGGAAAAGAAACTGCTTTTGTATTCATCTTCTTCCCACATGTGCCCTTCACTAAGGGAACTGTGTAATTAAGTTAAAAACCAGCTCATACTAGAGATGATGAGGCTGGTGAGACACTGGCCCAGGTTGCCCAGAGAAGCTGTGGATGCCCCATCCCTGGAGGGGTTCAAGGCCAGGCTGGATGAGGCTTTGAGCAACCTGGGCTAGTGGGAGGTGTCCCTGCCCATGTCAGGGGGTTGGAACTCAGTGATTGTTAAGGTCCCTTCCAACCCAAACCATTCTGTGATGAGCAAAGGAAAAGGACCCAGCTGCAGGGTGTGCAAGCAGCCCATCCCCAGGGACACACCATGGTCCTATTTCTCTATAAATTTTATATCTGCATCCCAAACGCACACAGGCTGGTTCCTCTCACTCACCTCTTCAGGCCTCCCCGGTTTTTGGGAACGTCCTGAATCAGCTTTTTGTGGTACTCCATCAGCAGCTCATGGAGCCGATCCTCCTTCCTTTCGCTCTCCCCCACCACTTTGGCTGTCAGCTCCAGCAGCTCGGTGCTGGTCTGGAAGAGCCTGCAGGCGTAGCAGGTGGATTTGGCAGTTTCCATCTTGTCTCCCGTCAGCACCCAAACCTTCATGCCGGCGGCGTGCAGAGCTTCAATCGTCTCTGCCGACTGCTCCTGCAGCCTGCAAGCAGAACCAAAACATCATGTCTCAGGTTGGCCCACACTTAATCCATATAACCCTAATCTTGCAGGTAGGAAGTACCAGCTCGAGAGAAGTTAAATGATTTTCCCCATGCTGGAGAGACCACTGCCACAGGAATAAGGACTAGAAGCCAGTAATCCCAAATCATTTGCAGTCAAAAAAAAAAAAAAAATCACCGCTTTATACTGTGAGACCTGAGAGTCAAGAGTAAGAGTTTAATTTACACATGCAGTGACTGTAACTGCATGCAAAGCTGAATTTGTTTTGATGTGCAAATTAATGTCATGTGCTTAATTCACTTTATAGAAGCGAGAGTACTTCTGCAGCTTCATTAATAAATCCTAATTCCTACTACATCAGCCAATTTTAGCAACTAGGGCACTGTGTAACGTGTTGTACCACAGAGTAATTAATTGCCCCGGACACCTCCAGCAGCTGCCTGGCTGCTCAGGTCCTGCAGCCTGCTCTGGCTTTCAGCATCTTCCTCCTGCCATCCCCAGGCTGTCCCAGGACCACGTCAAAGGCAATCCCAGGCTGCACGGGAGTCTCGCCACAGCTTGGGCGAGAGCACACAGATCCACCGCAGCAGGTCAGGGCCACGACACAATGTCACAGAGGAATGGCAGGTACCGGTCACCTCTTTACCTGTCTTCTACAGCAGTAGCCCCAATCAAGTGCATGTCTGCTTCCGTGTCTTCAAAAACCTTGGCCATCTTTTCCTCCCTGTCCTGCAGAGCCATCTTTGCTTCGTTAAGCTGTCTGTCAATTTTGTCATACTCCTTTTGAGTTAACTCTTTGAATGCCACGCAGAGTGTTCTGTAGCCATCCTGGTAGAGGGAGGGAAAGCAAATAAAGTGGACAACTGCCCTAAAAAGCAGATCTCCTACAGCTCCTCACTTTAGGGTTAGTGCTTCTCTCCACCATCAGTGCTTTCTGCCAGTACTGACCCCAACAGCAATGACGATTTGTTGGCTTGAGTCAAAAGGCCAATTTCTCTGTGTTTATACAGTATCTTCTTCCCATCAGAGTAACCATGGTGATGCTTATTATGTGCATGTAATATGGCAGAGAGAAACTAAGAGAAGGACCAGAGGCAAGAGCGTCCATCCAGCACGAAGAGTGGGGACCAGGTGTCCCCACAACTGGGATCAGGCACTTCTCCCAGCAGGGAAAGCAGCCTGCTATTGTTATTTCTATTTTGAACTTGCCTGGGAGATGCTCAGACACAACTGTGATGGAGACCATATAAGTACATCAAAAGCTGGTGGAAGCCAAAGACACAGAAAAGGAAAGAAGCCTGGCTTCAAAACAATGTGAAGTGACACTCAGATTTTCAACACTTCCCTCCAAAGCAAGGTCACATCCCTACTTTTGGAATAAAGCTTTCCTGACCCCAGGAGCCAGCCAAATTCCATCCGCGTGCTCACCATAGCATTACGGTCCACGTGGATTTTCGTTTGTTGGATTTCTTCTTGCTGCACCCTTGGAAAAATAGAGGAGTCTGCTCCTTTGCAGAAGAGAAACAGCTTTCCTAAAAGCAAATGATAAATAGTTCATGGCATTCACAAGCTGTAGAAAGACTTAACAGCTTCGAGAGCCAGCAAGTGATGCAGAGGCAGGAAATCTGGCAGGATTGAAGAGGGAACTGCTGGAAGCCCGGCTGCCCACAAAAAGTGGCCTCACGTGAACCTGTGCAAAACCTTCTTTGACCTCGGGCTGGGACACCGGGTGTCCCCACCTGCCCTTGAGCAGGCTTCCTGCCACAGGCTGGACAAAGCAGGTTATTTTTTTCCTATTCAGAAGCCTTGCGAACCTTTTCAGGCAGGGTGAAAACAGCATCCCATACCTGACAGGACTGACATTTGAGAAGGATGGTGACCTCTGAATTTTTGTCTGCTGTCCCCATGACAACCCACCTTGCTCAGGGGAAGGTCTCACATCTCCCCCCGTATTTGTGCCTCCCAGGCTGGAACACGGCAAGCAGGGAGCTCTCCATGGGTCACTGTCCCCATCCCTGTCCCCTCCCTTTATCTGCTGCTGGTCCCCAGTGGCTGCTACGGAGAGAACTCTATCCCAGCCAGACCCAGTACAGAATTTGATGAGACCTGCTTCCAAAACCTAACAGCTTAGCCTCTCTGGGTTACAGGAATAAAGAGGATGTGTTTTATATTTATGCACATGTGCACACATGTATGGGAGTCCAGAAATGCATTTTAACTGTACCCATGGTGGTTCTCACAATGACACTCATACGGCGACGGACAGGATCGAAGTTCAACACATGGAGGAGTTGATACCTTAAAAAAAAAAAAAAAAAAAAAGGAAAGAAAAAAGGATCTTAGACTCAGCAAAAGGAAAATAACTATTTAAGACAGAAAATCACTAACAACGAGCTGCAGAAATCAATACACGCTGCAAGTGGCAGGGCCAAAATTTACTTTAACCAGCCACTGCAGAAGAAAACTGAGTTAAAAAAAAAAGGAAAACAACCCCAGTGCTGCTTTGAGCATGAGGCTGAGGGTGCAGGTGTCCTGAGCACAGCCAGCCCCAGGCTGGCAGCGGGGCACCACATGCCACAGGCAGTGACATGGGCACGGGCATTTAAACAAGAAGTTTCACCATAAGGGGAGTAAGAAGTGAAACTTGCTTGTGAAGGCAAGTTCTTAGAGCGCTGGGATTAGCTCAGTGATTCTCAGATGTCCCCCATGCTGGGAGCGCAGGCTAAAATCTCATTATTTTCAGCACAGAAGGGGGAAAAAAAAAGTTAAGAGGGAAGGGAGCCATATCACGCAGTTTAGGCTTACAGCATCCTGCTGTGATAGCCACTGTCCCTGGGGTCATAGCCACCCCATGAATCCCAGAAGCCACCAGGCATGGATAAAGGATGCATGCAAAGGACTGCAGGCACTTAAGGAACCTGAATTTAGATGTCACTAAAACCACCATCAGGTTTTTTGCAAGCAAGCCTTTCAGCTTGTAAAAAGGGACAAGCACCTTGTAAAAAGGGACAGGAGTTTTTGGGCAGGTCAGCATTGTCTGACAGCCCTCGCAGAACAGCTTCGACCCTGCCAGGTTGGCCACATTGGCCAAACCCAATGAAGGGGGGTGGGAGTCGGTGTGGCACGAGCAGCCCCGTTCCTTGGCAGCCCCTGCAGCACTTACATTTCAGTTTCATTCTTTTGGTTTCGTATTTTCATGAAATCGTTTTCAAGTCCTAGAAAAGTGAAACCATACCTGTCAATAAACAAAAGGACAGAACAACATTGAAAACACCCATTGGCACATATCAAACATTAACGTTTTTGTTTCACCTTCTGTACTGCAGAGGAGAGCAAAGAAGTTAGTGAGCCTGAGCAAAAAAGCTTGTCTGAATGTTTGCTTGCTCCCTGCAGAGCCTGTGATGATGTCCTGGCCCTGCTCCCATGACCTGGAGAGCTGGGCACCGCAGCACACAGACGCCAAGAGGCTCTGGATGCGGTCCCCTGGGTCTCCAGCGGATTTATAAGCCTTGAGCAAGGATACACAGCTGCAACAGCCTCCATCTGAAACCTAGGGACTGGCAATAGTGTGGAATCACAGAATGGTTTGGGTTGGAAGGGATCTTAAAGATCATCTAGTTCCACCCCCCTGCCATGGGTGGGGACACCTCCCACTAGATCAAGGTGCTCAAAGCCCTATCCATCCTCAAGCGTCTTTAGCAGGATTCAAACGCAGGTTTGATAAAAGTAACTGCTCAGGAAAGACCTTTTGCAGAGCATCCCCTTTTACAGAGAGCTCATTTAAACCCACAGGCTCCTCTGGCTTCACAGGGCTGCGGGTCAGGTCCAGTATTGGTATCACAACGTGCTTCCTAGAGAAAGATGCAGTCTTGACCCAGGAAACAGGTATATCCCTTTTGGATAACCCTCATCTCCCTCCCTCCAGGAGAGAGGGAATTAAAACTCCAACATCTTCATATTCTTACTTTTCTGCGCCTTTGACCAAAGCAATTTCGTCAGGGGAAGAGGAGATATAGGTGTATTTGCGTTCCATATGTCCTATCAGCCCATCCACCTGGTCTCCTTCCTTGATCTGGACGGTGTGGCACAGGCAGAGGGCTCGCAGGAACAGCTCCTCGCGGCTCTAGGCAGAAGGGAGGGAGGGCTCAGTTACCAGCTTAATGCCATGCCCCCAGCCCACCTCGCAGCACTTGGGCATGATTTTTGTGAATGCATGTTTTAAAACAAAAAAACCCAACACCCCCTCCCAGCTTCTGTTGTATTTACCCAACCAGGAGCTGACCCCAAAACCCCAACAGTCATCAACGTGCAGGTTTCTTACCTTTTCTGCTTCGCCATATTTCAGGGGTCCATCGGTCTGAGAAAAGCCATCCACCTCCGAAATGCAGTCTTTGTACTTGTGCCCATCTATGCAGCACTCGATGAACTCCATGCTGTTCTCTGTCAGGGTCCCGGTTTTGTCCGTGAAGACATACTCCACCTGGAAGCAAGCAGGCAGGCTGCCTCGGGGCACCCCCAGCCCATGAGCTGGGGAACAAGCCCCCCAAAAACAAAGAGGCTGGGCCATTTTAGTGCACCTGTGCCAATGCTGGAGGGTACTTTGCTGCCATCCGAAGCTGGGGCCCCAAAAAGGTGCAGGTGCCCCACAGGAGTTACACCACCGTGTAGTTTTGCTACTTTGCTCCTCAGAGCAGCTCTTTTGTTTTTCAGACCATTGGACAGGAGGCAGCTCCTGAAGGCTTAAAATCTGTTTCCAGGCTCTTTGTTTTCCCCTCATCCTCTTTATTGGGTCCTTTGCTATAGCTCCTAGCACTTATATACCTGCTGCAGGTCTGCTGCCTCCTTTGGGGGATCTTCATTTTGGTACTGGATTTAAAATAAATAGTTGCAACTCCAAATTGGTTTGGTTTTTTGTTTATTTGTTTGGGGTTTTTTAAGCAAAATAAAAAGCAGAAGGCACTACTCATACCCCATACTCAAGACTCCCCTGGTGCAGATAAGAAAGCGAAGCCTGAGCTATCTAACTGCTCCAGCGAAGTCAGCAGCAGGGTGGCTGCATGTGCACAGCATGCCCAGAGAGATGGCTGGGCAGGCATTTCCATGAACTCAAAGAGACAGAATTTTTAATTTTTAATTGAAGCAGCGAAAGCAAACCACCCTGACACGCAGAGCACTGAGCCCAGTATTCCCCAATATGGAAACAATCGGCATGACCCAATTCCTGCTCTTCCATGCACTATTTATAACCTTATCTGTTCCACAGTGTGAGTAGAATCACATTAAATGGAAAGTGCCACCAAACCGGCTGAAGCTCTGCCCTGAGGGGACCGCGAGTGACTGCCACAACAAGGGTTCCTATCAGGGAGGACATTTTCATCCAAGCAGATGCAAACAGAGCACGTTCTGACCTGCCCGAGCTCTTCGTTCAGGTCCGAGGTGTTCACCAACGCTCCCTCTTTTATTTCTTCGTCGTACATCTCCTTGTCCCAAGAGATGAAGAAGGAACCCAAGAATTTCTGCATCTCTACTGTAACGTACATGGAGACTGGGATGATAAAATTGAAGAGGACCATAAATGACAAGAAGTCAGTGAACATCCGCAAGACCTGCAACGGAAAGAGAAGATGATGCAGTCTGTGCCCATCAGGCAGAACTCAGCAGTTTACAGCAACACCTCTGGGGTTTTAGACAGCTTTTCTTCTAAGGTTAAATAGAAAAAAGCAACCTGAAAATTAATACAGCTAAGATACAGGGGCAAATGCAATTTGCCTTCAGTGTAGAAAATCTCACTGTCTTCTGCAGATCTATGAGGTTGTAACACAAGGGTAAATCTCACTGCTTCACAGCGACCAAATCGATGCCTCATTCAAGTACATTCCTCTTAAGAATATAGCACTACAGGCTCATTCCGATCTCAACTAACTAGAAACAAAGAGCAAGTGGCTTGAGACCAGTCAAGCTATGGAGAGGGTAAAACTGATGCACAGACCTACTCAATCCTACTCAGTAGGATAGACCTATCAGTCCTACTCAATAACCCATCAAATAACCGACCTCTACACACACACACACACATTTTCAGGTTTGACCTCCTGCATCTGAGCAAATTTAAGACGACAGTTGATGTGGTCTCAACTTAAGTTGGCCTACTCAAAGCTGAAAGACGGGTGGAGTTCAGATACGGATCCAGGTTCAATTGGCTGCTGCATTTCTCTAATATACAGTATTTATTTATCCTCTGCCCTGCTCCACACAAGCATCCACGACCAGGAGAGATGCAGGAAAGAAACGCAAACAGCAGAGGAAACAAAAGCACTTCCAGCGAGCAAACAGGACTTGCGGGGCTGGCAGCAGACACTATCAGATTAAATAAAACCATCAGAATAAAGCTGGAGGAGGTGCTGAAATACAAATCCGCTTACCTTGAACGTCTCTCGCTCTTTTTTAGTCTTTTCGTTGTACCAAGGCTCATCGTTAAATGGATTACTCTGCCAGACATATTTCAGAGTCGTGCACACAGTAGCCTTGCTCAACAGGATGCACAAATACACTATCAAGAAAGCGTTGATAGATCTGAAAAACAGGTTTATTTTTTAATTCTTGCACCTATTTTTCTACAAAAACTCATGCAAATAAGCAGGAACAGGACTTCCTTACTATTAAGGAGGGAACTACAGAAAAAGTGCTTTTGACAGTGCTGATATTCAGGGTCAGTTCATGTATTTTAACATTTCTTATTTTGTTTTTAAATAAAAAAGCTACTAAATGATGCAGCTTCTTGAAAGACACGCTTAATCAAATATACAGATTTTCTATGCAATCAGAGAGCACCTGAAACAAAAGGCAGCAGATTAGGGGATTATTTCCGTACAAGTCATCCACGAAAAAAAACCAACTGTTTTTACCGATTTTTTTACTGACTATAAATACTCACTTTTCTACAGCAGACCGTTTCTGAGATTTCCCTTGGTAGTTCAAAGCCATTTTCGTCTCCATTCCAGTATAGACTGCAACTCCTACAGGGTATTAAAGCAGGGCTCATAAGGGACTCGTGGCCCCGGAGGGACCCAGCTTGCACTCAGCCGTAAGGGGCAGCGGTGTTTACATGAAACTCGAATCCCAGTTGAAGAAAGAGGCATTACCCAAGGACTGTTCAACTACAGAAACCTCCGAGGCTGCTAAGTAACATAATTACATATATCCCAGAGCACTGAGCAGGAGCCTATGGATCACATACAGTCAGAGAAAACATCAATCCTCCCTAACAGCCGTCACCCTCCATCACGAGTGGCTGGGACTGTGATCCTAGCACACGCTTTCAGCAGAGGATTTGGGAACAACTCCCCGCTCTTTGTATCTCAAGCAAAAAGAAAAGCTTGCTGAGGTGTATTAACACAACCTGCACCGCTTGGCAGCACGGCAGATATAACCAGCATCTCCTGATTTCACCCTGTCAGCTCTGCGATCAGCTTGCATACTAAATGGAAGTGTAGAGCCCAGGCAGACAGGCTGCACAGAAGCATTTTCCCTCTCCAGATTTAGTGATTAACATCTCCACTTGCAATTATTTATTGGAACTATTTAAATTTAAAAATATAATAATAATAATAATGATAAAAACTGTTCACCATAAATCTTCTTGGTGTTTTTGAGGGTAGCACCTTTCAGCAACAGGTTTTCAGGACCCAAAGACCTAAATGTAAATAAGTTATAACATTACATCACTCAAAGAACATTCAAACTGCTCTGTAATTTAGACGCAGAGATAGATTATAAAGCTAAACAGATGTTCTTTAGATCTGATTACTTCATTTGTATGTAAAATTGGGCATTGCTTGAGTTTGTTTTTCTCTTTCCATACTTCTATTTCCATTTCATCTTAAGCAGACTATTTTTGGTGCTCAAAGTTCCAAAGTTAATGGGGGATTACCAGTAAGGCTTTTGAGGAATAAGTGCAAAACATTCAGATATGTTCTAGTACTTACATAAAAAACTGATTTTAAAACCAATTGCTTCTAGGGTCCAGGTAGATCCACCACAGCATGAAACACGGCTGGCACCGCTCCGATGACAGCTGTCTGGTTTTGATGACTTATAAACATTATTCATTTATTTTTATCTCCTGAAACACTCTGATTGATGTTTAAGTTTCCGCTTTCTTTCAAATAACAATATTTTGCAATTCCCTGGTAACTTTGTTCCCCATCAGCAGGGGAGGGTGTTAGCGAGTGGTCCTGCATCGCCTCCCCAAGAGGGGCTCAAACAAATCACAGGATGGCAGAAGGGAGGAAGTGGAGAGGTTAACTACAGGCCTCCCCTAACAATGAAATATTGGGAATGGTTACAGAAAAACAACCATTCCCTAATGATGGCAGCACAAGTTCAGATCACTGCAATTCGATGTAGATGCCCAACCTCTTTGAGACGGGCCAGTGAGACGGCTGCAAGACCAACCTGGCTACGGGCTCTTGGTTACTTCTGTAGATCATAATTCTTCCAACAAATCTGCAATAAAAATATGGGAAACTTGTATTACAAGCACCTTATAAAGAGTTACTACAAGCATAGCAGAAACAGTCACTGACAGGAGGTGGAAGCAAGGGGCCATCACCGCAGCTGAGCGGACAAAACCCAGCTCTTTACACCACGACAAGGGTTGCACCGAGGAGGTTTGGCTGCAAAGAAACCGAGCCCTGAAGAAGGGTGGTGCCGACTTTGCCATCCTCGTATGGAAGAAGCCTGGAGGCTTATCACTGCCTTGAGAAACTTTTTGGCCGCTGATGAAAAGAAATGCCCTTTGCTTTGCTGAACTGTAACTTACAGATCCCCTAACCCCCGGTGCTCAGGTGTCTGCAGGGAGGGGACACCAGGCAGCTGCAGGGTGGGATGGGCAGGAGGATCAGACTCACTTGTAGAGGTCAGGCTGCGGCTGTTCGCACTCGATCGTGGCGGTGAGGGTGTCAATGGCTTCGTCCGTACAGAGCACGGTGGTGTCCCGCACTGCGTAGTGAGTCTGGGCAGAGAAGCATGGGCAGCGTCAGCACGAGCCCCCAGCAACACCACCCGTCCTCAATTTCTTATACCGCATTACTTAAAATCATAGAATCATCATAGAATCACAGAACGGTTTGGGTTGGAAGGGACCTTAAAGACCATCGAGTTCCAGCCCCTGCCATGACAGGGACACCTCCCACTAGCCCAGGTTGCTCAAAGCCTCATCCAGCCTGGCCTTGAACCCCTCCAGGGATGGGGCATCCACAGCTTCTCTGGGCAGCCTGGGCCACTGCCTCACCACCCTCACAGGAAAAAAGTTCTTCCTAACACCTAATCTAAATCTCCCCTCCTTCAGCTTAAAACAGTTACCCCTCACCCTATCCCTACACTCCCTAATAGAGTCCCTCCCCATCTCTCCTGTAGCCCCCTTTGCAGCACTGGAAGGCTGCTAGAAGGTCTCCCTGGAGCCTTCTCTTCTCTAGGCTGAACAAGCCCAAAAAAATACCACCATGCAAAGGCTTGTCAGCACCAGCAGCTCACCCAAGCCCTGTCCCTCTCCCACAAAGCAGATGAAGCATCTCAGTGAAAGCCTGAAGTCAATAAGCTTGAAAGAAACCATAGCGGGAAGGAGCTGCAGGATATCTGTTCAGCAAGGCATGCTCTAAACACAGAGCATCTTCAGTTTTTCCCCAGGGACTTGCTGCCATGCCAGCCAGGGTGGGGGGAGGCTGCAGGTGCTCCCGGGGCAAAGGGGCTCCCAGGGACCACCCACCCGCCGGCTCCTGAAGGTAATTAGACGCCAGCTCCAGCGCCCAGGGATCAGGCAGAGCACTGGCAGACTCCAAGCTATTTTTAGCAGCTGCTGCTGCAAAGGTTCATCTCTCACAATTAACTGGAAAGCCCACGAAGGATCTGCTTGCTGCCTTCCAGGCTCTATTTATAGGAGCTACTCCAAGCTCCAAGTCACGGCGGGCTGCACGGCAGGCTGCCTCCATCCATCCTCATCAACAAATTCATTAAAAAGCTTCCTCCACTCCTTACGTCTGCATTCCCCTCCTTGCGCATCCCGGCAGGAACCGTTACATCACACACGCTGTAGTCACGGCGTTATAAATACCCTCCTCTGTGCTGTTTTGGTAACCTGCCTGGCTTTTTGTATTGAAAGCAGACGTACACACATACATCTCTGGGATAAATCACAGCTTTGGTGAAACACAACCCAAAACTGTTCCTGCAGTGCCCTATACCAAACCCAGAGCCTTGTGCAGGGTTTTGCATCCGCTGCTCTTGTCACCATGGTCACTGTGCAATTACTGAGGGATACTTCAAAGCCTCCTCCTAATTAATTCCACGATCTTTACATCCTCGATCCCTCAGCGTATTTACAAAACACGTGTTCTTTCAGATAATGTATGACCAAAGATTCACACTTCAAAGACAGAGCTCTGACAAAATCCCTTTTATAGATCTGCTCCAGTTTCACTTAACCAGGCGTCTTTCCCATACCATGACCTGACATGCCCCAAATACCAGAAAAAATCCCCACCAGGTAGGCAGCAGGTGCGAGTGCAGATGAGGTTTTGTGTGTACCCAAGTGTGCTTCCCTCACCCTTCTTTCACAGCAAACCCCAGTTCCTAATACTAAACTTATCTCCCCAAACAGCACTTGCTTTTCTACTCCTCCCTTGCCCTTCAAACTCATCTCCATCTCGTCAGGAAACAGGAGACAGCTCCCAGTCACCTACAGGAATCCACAAACCAGGAAAAAACAACACAGTGCTCGATATAGAAATTCAGCACTCTGCTTATAGACTCACAAGCTAGCAAGAGCCAAGACTCTGCAAAAGTTATGTGAACTCATGCATATAATACACCTGACACAAATAAGCAATTTCCTATTCAATACAGTTACGTATTTCTAGCCTCAAGCCACTTCAAAGCTCTATTCCTCCTTACTAGTGGAACCAGTACAGTGCACCAGTACTGCCTCCTGATGTATCGGCTTTTTGTTGTTGTTGCTCCTTTCCCTAGTTTGGAGAGGCGGGGTGAAATAAAGGAAAAATAAACTGAAGAGGAGATTCACCCTGAGCAACACTAAGATCAAACTGCACTTCTTGATTCAGGGAAAGGGAGAGGAAAAAAACCCCCAAAATCCCACAAAGAGTAGAGATGTTTTTCTCACACTGGTGAAAAATCCCCCGAATTAATCTAGACACACTGCCTCAAAAAGTCCCAGATCTCACTGGAAAAGCTTGGTTGAACAAGAGAACCATTGGCAGGTAGGGGAAAAGGAGCTGGAGCAGCTGCAGGCACGGCTTTACTGACACACCAGACCTCGCTGGGGCAGGGAAGCACCAACACGCTCCCCAGGATGGGTAACAAGGCAGCGAAGCCCTATCGACAAAGATCGATCCCATTTGGGGCAGCGCCAGAAGAAATGGCTGTTGGAGACAGACAGAAAACAAACAATCCCAACGGTGCTTTGGTGCTGACGCAGTGGGAGCAGGCAGAGGGAAGAGCTGTAAATACAGCCACGTGGCCACGGGGATGGGCTCTGCGGGAGCATCCTCCAGTGACTCACACACCTCCCTGCGCGAGCATCCGCTCCAGGCACCCGAGAACCCCAGAGCACCAGCTCCCCAACACCACCCCGTCCATTCCCGTCACCTTGAAGTTCGACTCGCCGTCGAGACTTGCTGTAGTGACGTAACAGGTCCCATCAACGCTGCTCGAGGCCAAAAATATCAGGTCACAGGGGAAGGTCTCATCCGCTTTCACTTCTACTATGTCTCCAACCTGGAGGAAAGGAAACTCTTACATGAAAAGCCCTCTCGGTGGTTATTAGATGCTTATGGATTTGGCTCGTCTCAAAGCCTAAGAGACTTGGCTAAAAAGGAAATGGGGGTTCCAGAGGTGCACAGGTCCCCGAGCATCACTCCACAGCCAGCCAGGTCAATCCAGCCCTGCACCAGCTCCGAGCACCCACGTGGCACATGTAGCATTTATTCACCTGCTAAATCTCGACGGAGCAAGAGACTCTGTACTTGTCTGAAGTGCGGGGTGATGAATTAACGTCAAAGCTAAGTGTACTTTCCTGGTGTCCTTGGGAGAGTTGGAAATAGAAGAGGACTGGCTGTCCCAGAGAAGTGCAAAAACACTGACAGATCTGTCACTTGTCAGCCCTGGTACAGCTTTTGTGAGACAGCTTTTCAAAAGCAATCAAACAAAGGCAGCTTCACTCCCTAACTGGGAACAGCATATTGTCTGAAAGTGAGCACACCGGAGCAGCTCCATCCCCAGCCCATCCCTCCTCCCCACCACACCCCTCGTGTTCCCACCGGCTGCAGCGATAACCACACACGAACTCTCTGTTAACAGTTACCTTGATTTTTTCACTCTCTTTCTGCACTTGCTTTGCATTTTCGACAATGAAGACGGTGCTTTTGTTCACTTCGTTGTCAGCTCTGTGCCTCAGCCAGTCCTCGTATCCCTAGGCACACAAATACAGGCAACACAACCGAGTAAACTAATGGAAAAGGATGAATAGGGACAGAGAGCAAGATATTAAATAAAAAAGAACAAATTAAGCAGTCCTCAGACCTCCTTCATGCCCGACATCAACCAGAGTAGATCAGACTGAATCAATTTTTTTTAAAAACTTCATATGCATATTTGACAGATTCAGAACAAATTAAAATAACACACAAAAATAATCTATATGCAGCGCATGCAACGAGCAGCTAAATGACTGTAACATGTTTCTATTACTCTCAGTGTTGGCAAGAACAGGCTGATAATATGAATAATACACTTAGCACCCTGCGACTCTTTCCTATGGCAACGCAGGACAAGACTCTTCCTCTTCAGTCCTCACTGAAAGAATTACAACATTCAGATTTGAATCAGACATTTTACTTCAGCTCTCCCTTTCTAGCCCCTGCAGAGGAAACTTCTTTTATTATTCAGTCCTTCTGTAAAGGAAACTTTAAATAGCACACGTGCATACGATGGGAGGAAAAAGGTCTCTTAGCACCACAAGAAGATGAAGGCTGCATCTAGGACTAGCTGAGTGGTTGAACAGAACCCATTCTTTCCATTTACCAACACGGGAGCAGAGCAGGGGCTATATTTGGAGCACGTCTCTGCATTCTGCAAAGACGCAGCGAGAATTTCTAAAAAGAGAAGAAAAATTCAACCAAAGCCAGAACTCCAGCAGTAACCTTTACTGACCCTCACGGCTTGCGTACAACAGCACATACAGAGATGTTTTACATCGCCAAAGCAAAAGAGACACCAATAACCACGCTCAACGTGCAGCCTCTCTGGGAAAGCACCAGTATACACGTCTCACCTTCTGAGAAGGGTTCACCAAACCTCCCAGCCCATTTAGGTGGCTTCTGAGTATATTTATATACACATTCATAATTTTTTCTATCACACGTGCCAAAGAGCATCTTCCTCTCCCCACCCTGACACTTGTACCTGTTTGATAGCTGTGACAGTGATGACAAAGAAGAGCGGGAGGCCACTGGTCACCGGGCTGGTTGGGGTGTCCACTATCACCTGCAGAGAGAAAAAAAATAATAATGTACTGCTGACAACTGGTTTTCAGGCAGCAGAAGAAATAAAAACTCTAGTAATGGGGGAAAAGGGGGCTCAGCCCACCAGGGTGAGTCACAGCCCAGCAGAGGAGGGGGGGAAGGAAGGGGAACACGAAGAAGGACGGGCACAGATGTCCCCAGAAGGGTTGTCCTGCATCTTGAGAAGATTACAATCCCTTCTCCTGAAGACTGTGGGATGTCCTCAGGTAGGAAAAACCCTATCAGAAGTAGCTTAAAACCTAAATTTGACCTTGCACTAGTGGGAAATAAAAGCCCGGACAAGTGGGCGGCTGGGAACGGGCTACATAAACACAACTACTCCAACGCCAACGAGCCTGCTCCCATCGCGGGGTGTGCTGGAGAGGACCGAGGCAGGGAAGCAGGATGGGGCAGAGGCAGCAGCAATGCATGAAGTGAAAAACACCCTCATTTCTCACTGAGCCACAGGAGGGTCATTTTGCCTCTGGCAATGAAAATGGAGCACATCTGAACCCTAAAACACAGCTGGTTATGAGAGGGAGGACAGGACCTCCCAAACTACTGACACCCAGATTAGAAATAACATGCATCAGCCCAAATTAGCTCGGAAATACACTGCAGAATGGATCATGAATATTTAAGCAAAACAAGCTCTTTGGAGTTAAGAGCACAATTCATCACAGTGACCACACAAGGGCCTTGGGGTGGATAGCTGGATAGCGAAGACCGAGCCTTTCCATCACTAATTAAACCTCCGGGCTGTGGGAAACCGCTGTTGCTTCTGACTCTGTCATGACTTGGCCTGAAGGGTAAGAACGGCAGAACAGGTTCATAACCGGGAGGGAATAACATCAGAGGAGGAAAAGCTGTGCCCTTGCCCCACCTTCCAAACCCGGGCACAGAAAATTCTGCAGTTTTCCTGCCATCCCCGGAGCAGACGGGAGCACAAGAGGCAGATGCGGAGGGCTGTGACGAAAGGGACGGGGAAGCTCAGCAGAAAGGCTTTGTGTCCCCACAAAGGGACTTTGTCTCCCTCCACTTGTTTGTGCTTTCCTGGCACGCTGGCAAACAGCAACATCTGTATAGTTATTGGTTTAGGGCAGGACTGCTCTTACCGGCTGGGAGGAAGCTATGGGGAAATTTTTAACTCTACCAAATGTCATTCACCACAATTCTACCCTGCACTGTTGGACCCAAACAGAGAAGAGCTAGAAGGTATTAAAGTGGAAGAGATACACCACAAGCAGCAGCCAGGTAAGTGGTGTATGAGTTAAGCAGCGTGAGGGTAAACCAAGCGTAACACAACAAGTATTTCCAGGAACACAAAGCCCTGGCTCACCCAAGTGGGTGTAAAATATTTACAAACAGAAAGTCTGGTAGAAACCAGACTTTGGAGGAACAACCTTGAGCAAGGATGGTGCCAAGCGTCACATGGACACATGGCATGTGTGATGGACACTTATCAGAGTGGCATCATTGATGTTTAGGCCACTCAGCCAAAAGTTATCTTGCAAAAATAGGACAGACCTTGGAAATACAAGAGGAACTTTGGCTTTCAGCCGAGAAGGACAAGGGGGAGAAGACCTCCTGCTGCCCAGGGGGAGACGTCACTGGATTAGGCAAGATGCAGTTGTATTTGTTTAAACAAATTATATTTGTCCACACAAATGCAGTGTTATAGATGTATGAACACAAATATTAGATGAAGTCCCCAGAATAACTCCTTTGTGCGTTTGGAGATCACACTCCCTGCGCATCCCGTGGCTGGACACTGCTCTTCCCTTTCCCGGCTGGTGGAATGAAAAAAAAACGAGCAACGTGCCAGAACACCAAAGGCAGACTCCTTTGAAGCTATTTTTGAGCTGGTTTAGGACTTCAACAGCTTAATTTGGATCCACTTAAAAGTGACAAAATCCTCCTGTTGCTTATCAGTTTCTTCACCACTCATTGTTCAGGAGACTGAAGACCACAGCCCATCAATCACAAGGGACATTTTTCACTCCTGGCACCTCCTAAATTAGCTTGCTGCCATCAGCTTGGCCTGTCTACACCTGGACTACGCTTACCCCAGGCCAGCCATTTCCACCAGGTTACCTGCAGTTTCCTTTCAGTGTTGCAATAGATGAACCAAAGAAACAGCTACATGTCTCCCTGTTTGTGCACTAATCAGTGGTTTATGTTTAATGAATGTACCTTCTCTTCCTCTCTCTAAAACAATAACCGAATTTGGAGTCTCAGAGTAAGACATTTTGATAAGGGTTTCAGCAGCACGCAGAGCAGATGCACCAGCAATTCCCCAAGTCCAGCAATATTTCGCTCCGAATGCAGCACGTAAGACAATTCTATTAATTTATTTTGAAGATAAGCCCCAACATTTCAGCTCCAGATGCCATTTATCAAGGTATAACCCTGACTATTTTAAATGAATGGAGTTGCCCTGAGTGCTTTTTTAAAGCAAGTGACATCTCCAGAACAACGAGCGCCTGGGGGCAGTCGGTTACTCTATAGGGCAGCGAGTACATTAGTGCTGTCAGGTTGGGTTTTGTTCTGTGGGGTTTATTTTTTCCTCTCATGAGGGTTGCTTCCTTATTTTAGAGGTCATCACAGATCACAGAATAAAAATAAGGAGGAATAGCAAGGCTCTCCTCTCATCTGCCTCCCCCTGTGCCTAAAATGGGTAAGCAGCTACAGTGCAACCAGTTCTGTAAGTAGAATCAAGAACATCCCACGTTCCTCATGGCCAGAGGGTCGACAGCTAAAATGCAATACCACGTCCCTAAATGGCCAACTACACAAAAAGGACATCCTGACTCTGGGGCATCAGTTCAAGGCAAATTACAAATCCATTCTGACAAAAATGGAGCACTGCCAGTGAAACCAAGTGGTGAAGAGCCAGCTGATGTGTGATGTGAACTGGCTTCCCATGTAACGCTGCCAGGAGGAGCCACGCTCAGCTGTTTTCTTGGGATCCCCCTTTTCTGTGGCAGCCACCGAAATGACTATAAACCATAACTCTTCACTGTAAGGATAAAACATTTTAAGCACTCATCTTTTGACCATGCAGCCTAGAAGAGTGAGATACCCCAGATCTGAACCACCAAAACCCCAGAGAAGTCATCTAACAGCAGGCTGTGTGCTGTAGCTGCATGGTGACACTGAATTTCCTGGGGTGCAGTTTTTGGTGCCTATTTTCAGCCCTAGAGCAGGTCGTCTGCTGAGCCCCAGACCCGAGTACAGGACTTAAAGGTGAACAAATCCACAGCGGTGATTCTCCCAAACTGCCTTCCTCCCAGTGCATCCAGACAGCCCGCTTTTCTTCTTGGCTGGCAGAACAGAGAATGAGTATTCAGGTTTGCTCAGGCTTTGCCCCTTAACCAAAGCCACAAAGCAGAGCAGAAAATGTTTGTCCCTGTATCAAAGTTGCTATTTTGTCTGTGTAGAGCAGCTTCCTGAAGCTTCATGTTTCATGCATTTTCTGAATTTTACTGAGTACAGCCTCTCTCCTGCTTGCCTTGAAACTCACTATAACCAAGATATAGAAATATCATATAACATGGGAAAATACAGTTATGCAGCAGAAGTAATAAAGGTGATAAAAAATAGATCTTAGTTCTGTACTATCAAACGTATTTTCACTGGTTGACTGATCTTAATGGTTAAAAGAGTTAAGATGAGTTTTAAATTGTTTCAGTCATTCAAACACCATCTCAGACAAGCCCAAATATTTTAATTATTATACTACCTTGGATGGGGTGCCAGAACTATAACACAGCTTCCCATAAAAAAAAAACCAAACACCAAGAGTCACTTTTGAACCCCAATTCCCGTTCAAGCTGTGCTACCATGAGTACATAAATCAAACCCACCCTTGGCATCAGAGTTCTTACCTGCACGAGGAAGATGATGAGGAAGTAGAAGTTGGCAATTCTTCTAAACTGCTCAAAAAGGTTCTTCGGGAGGAAGTTCCAGAGGGTGTACTGCGGGGAGAGAGGGGGGCTCACACACAGACCCAGGCACGGGGCTGCCTGGGGACTGCAGCTACAAAATGGGAAGTATCTGCACAAAATCGGAAAGGAGATTTCCCTTTAACCTGGCGAGCTGTCGGAGCAGCCCTGGCGTGCTCCAGGTCCCTGCTTTAAAACTGGGAACGTAACGCAGCTGGATGCCTAGATGCCACTGACCTGCTCCAGCTCTCCGCCGGTTCATTACACAGCTGGAAGTGTCCCTCACTCACCTGGGGTTTTTTGTTTGTTTGCTTTAAAGTAGGCAACTATTTCTCTTTTGTCAAAATAACCCAAACCACATGGTTGGAAATGAAGAAAGGTAAAAGAAGATAAAAACAACAGGATCTGTTTCAGCAAACATTTGTAGAGACGTGATCTCACAAAGAGGTAATGCACAGCGCAGAGATTTCTTTTTCCAAACAAATTCCAAAAAACAACTTAGAGTCATTCTTCTGTTAAAAAAAAAAAAAAAAAGCCATGTTGCCCATACAAATCTGTTATTAGGTTGTGCTTCATTACCATTTGAAGAAGGCTGCTGAATCATCTGCTTTGGAAAACGTAGAATTTAAGAACAACATGCAAAATAATGGGTCTAATATTTGAACTTTCAGTCTGCCTCAAATAAACAAAGAATAATAAGGAGCCAATTTGCAAGTCCAATGTCCACGTAATTATAAAAAGAGACTGGTCAGGTAAGAAGACTCCATGCCTAGCAAATATAAATGGAAAAAAAAAAAGAGCAAGGACACAACTTTCAAAAATAAAAAAGGGAATAATTAAAATTAGCGCTAAAACAACCCCTGAGAGGGAACTGAAACAAGGGAAGGTGTCCTCTCTGAAGGACCCAGGGAAGCATCAGTGGGAATGCTAACGAATTAAACATGATTAGACTTAAAACTTTTCCCCAATATAAACTCAGGCAGCTCAGAGACATGAAAACAAAAAAGATCCAAGCTGTATAAAAAAGAAAGGAGAGGGAAAAACCCCCCTTACGGCTCAAGTACAGTGAAACTGAAGCCTCACTGTATGCTGAGCACCATGAATCCTAAGCAACATCACATGTATGCAGCTGTGTTGACAATATGGGATGCCACTTGTTTGATATTTTACTTGAATTGGCTTCAAACCTTTTGAAACAGCTTCATGAATGTAACGGAAAAAAAGCTAAGCAGAAGGCAGACGGGTGTCATCACAGTTTTCCACCATAAACAAAAGCTGCATTAATACCGTATGAATGTTTCCTCTTTCATCCAAAGGGATAAACAGAGCATGGTTATTTTCGTCTTATCTCAAGAGGAGAAAAAACCCCACAGAATTAAAAAAAAAAAAAGCGGAATTGTATTTTTCTGTCTATTTATAAAATAATCCCCACCTCCTTTTGCAAATCTGAGTTGCTGTCATTTTGTGCTGTATTACACTTAACTGTCCTTTCCTCACAATGGAAATACCCGAAAACATAAAAAACCCCACATCAATCACCTTATCCAAAAAACCCCACAAAACCAGTGTGTCCATGTGCTTTGCTCTCACCCAGCCCAGAAGAAAGGAACCTGTACGCACCCCCACTGGGAATGTCAGGAAGAAAAAAAGTCTCAGAGAGACAGGAGCTGTGGTGGAAGGTGTGTACCAGGCTGCTCCGCTTGCAAAGGGACTTTTACATCCATCTTTGAGGAATTCAGAGTTCCTCAATTTCAAAAACAACCATCAAATAAAGCCAGGGTGAACACATGAGCAGGGAATGCACCCGCAGGAGCGGAGCAAGCTCACCTTGGAGGAGACGATCCTGTTGTCGCAGAACTTCTGTGCCACGTACGCATCTGTTTCCAAAACCGGCCGGTGCCCCACCACCACGGTGCGCGTACCGACCCGCTTCTCTTCCCCAGCACACTGTCGGGGCAACCAGGAAAGGGAAAAAAAATTAGCTTTTAGCTCAAAAGAATTCAAATGTCTGTATTTATAGCTTCCAGCTGCTGAATGTACCCTGCTGTTCATGGGAAATAAGGCAGAGGGAACCTCAAACATTCACTTCTCTGACCCAGCAAAAGAATAGAGAATGAAAAGGATGCCCACAGCTCACCCCACAGCTGTCACCCCACAGGACAGGTGACAGGTCACTGCTCCCGTACACCACACTCCTGCCCAATGCAGGATGGTTGCTGCCTGTACTTGCAGCCTGTGCCCATCTGACAGACAATTTTTCCTTCTTGAAGGAGAATATATCTTTATCAAGCACTTCAAGTCATTAAGAATATAATTTCTTTTCTACACATCCTTCTGGTCCCTTCAGCCTTGGGTTTCTACAGCAGCTCCAGGCTTTACCCCAGGCCCCCACGGAGGATGGTGGAAACTGCACCCTCCTTTGCACTCACTCAAACCCTCAAACCCACCCAAAATGTCTCACTGGTGCACGTAGACTTGGGATTTAGCTTAAAAAGAAAAAAGGTATACTTTTCTTTTAAAATCTCAGATAAAACCATAAATAACAAAGCGGACAGTTTCACACCACAAACTCCTCAAAAAGACAGGCAGGGTGCTGGGGACACCAGCTTGTCTTGCTGGGGTTTATTTTAAAGCAGAACGAGATGTCCTAAATGAATTATAATCCCTCTGCTCCACGGCAGCCAGGGGAAAGATGAGGGATATAACAGAAGAATAAACCCAGCGGGGAAGCAGATCCACCCCCTGGGAGGAGAGCATCCCTTGCACGAAGCCATGAGAGATACTTGCAACCAGCAACACGGGGCTCGAGCAGAGCCCCAGCCATCGCCCTGGTGCTTGCGGGCTTCCCACGGGAGGTCACAGCACCCAGAAAATTCAAGAGAGATCCTCCCAATCCCATGGAGAGCATATTAAAATAACACAAAGTAAACAAGGTATCTGAATATAATGAGAGTAACAGTGCTCTTCTCCTTAAATGTAACTCCTAAGTATCAAATTCCCAACTTCCTATAACTTCATTGAAGAACCCCTGCAAACCTGTGACAAGGCAGAGGCCATGCAGGTCCCCACCAGTGCCCCAGCCCTCAGGAGAGCTCTCGGGGGGACAGGACAACACCCTGGGCTCTGCTTCCATCAGCTTCCAGCTCCGAGCTGCCCAGCACATGCAAGGTCCTTGATGGATCAGGGAAGTCTATTTTCAAATGAAACAAAACTGTGCAATACTTCAAAAATCAGCTTTTTGTTCTGTCCAGGTTCCACCTTGCACGTAACAAAGTGTCCCTGCCAGAGATGCCAAGGGAGGGGACCCGCCTGGCACCAGGAAGCATTTTGCAAGGTTGAACTTCATATTATAAAGTGAATTTAAATTGCCCACGAAGAAGATGGAGTGGGGGGGGAAAAAAGGGTCTTCTTAGGCCAGGCTGAGGTTTTCTTAGAGTTAAGGTTTTGGATTTTAAAACATGATCAGGGAAGACATTTGTCACTGTTCATGGTTCAAGGGCATTAACAGGCGGCAGGGCTGCTAAAACACCGGCGGATGTTGTTCATACTCCGCTTAGTCTTATTAATCCCTCAACCCTAGAGCTTGTTTGCTTCTAAACCTCATCAGGGTAGGTGCCAAAAATGCCAAATCCCTGTCCTGTGTCAGCTGCCCGGCATGGGCTCAGCGTGCCCCGGCTCCGGCTGAGCATCCCGGCTGTGCGAAGGGCCCGCCGCAGGCAGCTGCTTGGCAAGCTGCAAGCAAAACTCAGCTGGAGAAAAGGTGCTCTGAGAACAAGTAATACAGCAAGGCCTGGGACTAACTGCTGCTTGGTGGAAGTGCAAAGAGGGGAAAAAAAAAAAGAAAAAAAAAAAAAAAAGTAAGCCAGCCCTATCCATGTACCTGGAGCAGCAGCAACTGAATGGATCTTGCTGCACCAGAACCAGGGTCTGCCCCAAGGCACCGCCCCGGCCCGGGCTGAGCACCCTCCCAGCCTCACCATCACCCACAGCAGCAAACAGCACATCTGAACTGGAAACCAGACCCAAAAAAGGTTCCCTGATGGACCTGCTGCATTGTGGAGGGGGCAGCCACGGGTCTCGCCAACCTGTGCCCCAGAAGCGAGAGGCAGAGCCATTCACCCACACCACAGCGGTGCCGGGGAGCAGAGACAGGCTGTCCCTGAGCCTGAAGCACAGTGTCCCCAGGCAGCAGCTGGAGCCATGTGCCTGGCAAGCACCCCTCCAGCACTGGGAGGAAACAGGAGATCCTGGCCCACGACACCAGCAAGGGCGGTGGGAAGGAGCCGAGGCGAGGCTTTGTGAAACACACGCACTGGCACGGAAGCAACAAACCTCTGATTAAAACATTCCTGGAAAAATACACACAAGTATTTACCCTGCAAGACTGTCCCTAGGAAGCCACAGAAAACCTGGAGCATCCAGCATGTGAAGAAGAGAAGCCAAATCCTGGGTGCAGTGTGTCAGCTAACCCAGCCCGCTCCTCTGCTCTTCCACCAAGGGATCACCAACTCCCAGGTGGGCTTTCAGCCCTCAACTCCCCTTCAGTTATTTATTTGAAACATCTCCTACAAAGATGACAGAAACCCCCTCCATGGGGACAGCGGCCGAGAAGTCCTCGCTCCATGGTCTAACCAGACTCCCACCACTCCCAGCATTTCATTTCCCATTAAATGAAACCCCACGGTGTCACACGAGCAGCTGGAAGGCTTCACACCGCATCTCTCCACTTTTTTCACCTTGCAGAAAGCGAGCATGCACCGTGATGATACCCGCAGCGAGAGGCGTTGGCTGAGCTCGGCAATTAAAAGCTCTCACTTTGACAAGCTCACCTCCGACGGCTCGCCGGGTTGCTAATAGATTGCTAAGTCTTAATAACAGCTCTCAACGGAGACTTAAGAGGAGATTTAGGGAGTAACTGCCAGGATTTGGGGAAAATTATAAAATATGCAGATTAGCAGGGAGAGGATTTAGACAACTTTTCCTGACTGCCTTTCATCAAAAATTTTGATTCTGATGGCAAAAAAAGAAAATATTACTTGGATACAATTCAAAGAGCTGCCTCATTACTCAGTGGGGTTTTATAAAGCCCACGGGGCAGGAGTCAGCTGGGGCAAGCAAAAGCCGGAGTTTCCTCTGCTGTCCGGAGCCAGGCATGCCAAAAGGATTATTTGTGAAAATAAACAATCACATTCCCCCCATATGCACTTTATCACCTCCCTCCATCCGAGGCGCAGTGTTTGCAGGAGCAGTGGGAGAACCAGAGCTGTCCATAGGGATGAGTGGCGTCAGGCTGCCCGCGTCCCGGGAGCTGCACGGTGGGAAGCCCACACCATGAGGATCGTGGCAGGTGACCCCAGTCCCAGCTCTGCCATACCACACCCCAACCACCCAGCAGAGCAGCCCCAGAGATGTGGGGTTCTTGTGCAATGTTTCAAGCTTCAGTTCGGGGCTCCTGCTCCGCTCCCCCAGCATCTAACCAACCCCTCAGCAGGGCATCCAAATCAGATTGCTGCTGAAGGAGCTCGGCTGGAAAACAACAGCCAGAGAGTCAAACACAAATCATAGGAGATAAAAATGAGGCTAGTGAGGCTGTTCTGCCAGGAACATCTTTCTGACCTGACAGGTTGCTATCTGTCTTTGCTTCCCAGCTCAGGCAGGACCAGGCGCCCGGGCTGCAGTAATAAATAATCGCATCGTCCCCGCCGGTGCAGGCACACAGAGCAGGGCAAAGCGCTGCTGCTGCGGTACCGCTTTCCTCGCACCACGGAGAAATTAAGATACAGAACATATTTCTGTTAAACATTTTGATGTAACCCAACCTTCCTATGCTTTCAACTTTGTACAAAACCCACTTACTGCTGGAAGCAGCAGTTTTGAAAAGAAGGCAGGAGGGATAGTAGGTATTTTCCTATGTTGTGCAAATTTAAAAGTCCACCTACACACATCAATGAGCCCATGGAAGGGGAGCTGAGGCTTGGCATTTTGCTATAAACTTTTCTCTGAGGAGTTAAGAACAGGTACGATTTGAAGGCATCAGAGCAGGGCTAAAAAATGCCCACGGGTGCAACTAATGACCCAACATAATTTATGACTTAAAGCCACTGGAGCATTGCATTGAGACAGAGGAATTATGTTTGCAGCCCAGAGCAATCCCCAGAATTCTCCGTCTGAGTTTGGGCAAGGCTCCCTTCGTGCCTCTTTCCCCTCGCCATCTGTGCCCTTCTCCCACAAACATCTCCTGCCCCAGCACGACAGCTCCCGCCTGCCTCCTGGAGAGGCTCCCCTTCACCCGCCCTCCCAAATTTCTGGGAATCCATCACGGCATCGTGTACAGGAGCCAGCTGGCACTTGATAAAAGTTGCAAACCTGGGTAAAAATTAGCAATCCTGGGTAAAAAATTAATGGAGTTAGACCCAGTTCAACAGAAGAGGTGAACCTGTGCCCTGCAGCCATGACTCGTGAGGAGCCGCTCTGAGGGGGCTATTTCTAGGGCAGCTGCAAAACAGAGGGTTTAATTATACCCCCCATATGGAAAACAAGTGTCTGTGCTACCTGCTGGCCCTGTTTCCAGAAAATAATAGTGGCACGAAAAAAAGAAAAAAAACCACAAACCCACCATTTGATTTACTACAGTTGCAGAAAGCACCTAAACCAGAACTAACTAATCACAAGAAACTCCTTTCATGTTTGCTGAAGATATCTTCAAGCCACAAAGTAAACACCAATAACTCATAGAAAACAGATCTACTGAAAACCACAGGCATTTTTTAAAAAAAAGACATCTGCTAAAACCAGAGATAATTATACGGTACAAACACAAAGCTCAAACATTTGAATGAAATCACAGCTTATATTAAACATATGCAGAAAAAAGATTAAATCACATTGCTTGGCTTCGATTTCATGAATCGTTTAAAGTCTAATGACTCCTGTATTGTTCCATTTATCATAAAAGTAGTAGAGAAGATGACCTGATTTACAA